TGCCCTCCTCGAACGCCCTGCCTCCTTGTTATTCTATTCTTCTCAACCATGGGATAATTGTAAGAGACTCGCAACACTGAAATTTAAAGCCACCCAGGTGTATTTTAACACCAGCCGTCCAATAAAAGCAGCCCTCCACTGTCGATTTCATGATCGCATCACCGCTAATCAAATGCCATTCATGAAATTAAGAAACCCCACTGTGGCAATCACCAAGTTTAGCTGTCGATTAGTGAATGGGCGACCCAGTTCCTTCGAGTTCTGGCTCTGTCTGATCGTCCCCGAATTAAAAAAGTTCACAGCCCTTCCAAGTTTTCCGCAAATAAAAGCAAGCCACAAAAGCCGTTCGGAAGTGTGAGGACTGAGGAGTTGCCCAGCAGTGGGTTCGTTCAAGAATATGCCAATTGCCAGTGGTGGCCCAAAAGTAAAGTCTCCAGGCACGATTGGCTTCATGAGCTGGCTGTGCTTGCTTTTCTCCCCTGAAATCGTAATCATCCACGATCTGCCAAGTGTACACGCCCCGCACTCTGAAACGAGAACGGACAGTGATTTCGGAATCCATATCACCTTTCCCTGTGAGACTGAGAACCACATGAACGAAAATAAGCAGAGGCGAAAACAAAGTACGTACTCTTGACGTGGTCTGTAAGGAGCACGTCAGAGCTATCTGCATGAACAACGTGCTTTTCCAACTATGTCAATTCCGAAGCGTCTCCCCAGTGCAACAGTTTCCTCAAGCTTCAAGATCCTGATCTTCATTCAGGTCCTGAAACCAGCAGTGCTTATTTGGATGATCGGTTGATGGCGTACGCACTACGCCCACGCACTGAACTCTGGGATGGCCTCGACCAGAGCTGACGGTTGAGACGAGCCCCAAAGGGTTAGACTACTCTCAGCTGCTGGAGAAGGATTCTGTAATAATCTCTGTTCCCTAAATTAAGGATTGAAAATATCCCCATTCCGTACGATGTAGGTAGCCTACTCGAGGGTACAGATATCTCAGCCCAGTCTTCCTGGTGGCGGAGACCGAGTGCCAACTCGACATCGGGGTGCAGAGCCGACATTCTTCTATCGGGCTCGGCCAGCCACCGCCAGGACCGGGGTGATCGCTCAATTGTCGGCGACCGTATAGTCTAGTAGTATATTGATTCTTGAGTTCCTCGGTTCCTGCCCGCCAAAAATACTGACGGAGTAGTCCAAAAAAAAAAAAATCACTCGAATAAAGCAAAAAATGTCAAAAATGAAAGCTTTGGCGCTGCCCGGAATCGAACCGGGGCTGGCACGGCCACAACGTGACGTCATACCACTAGACCACAGCACCTATTTGCTGAGTGGTCCGGCCGATTTTAGGCCTACGTCGAGGCCCCAGAGACAATATAATAGTATCTGATTTACCGTAGACCGATGCGCGAGCTTCCCAACACCAGCTTGGTATGCTTCCTAGGATGGACGAAGAGCTATGGATAAAGTACGAAAAATCAAAATAACAAGATTCTAACATGCTGCTAAAAGTTATTACCCTTCTTGGATTGTCAGTATGTGACTACAAAACTATCGATCATTATCCTACGCTGTTCCTTAACAGGCCAAGCATATCCTCCATGCTACTGCTAGATAGGGAGCTGGCAACGCATTTCTACGTTATCTAAGGACCCGACATCGTTCTTCGACTGCGTGGCTTGGTTTTGTGAAAAGGTGAGAATCTCCGAGTAGAAGCCCGCCTGCCCTTGCCAAGGTATCGTCAAAGCACAGGTGCTCGGTTTCTTCTTAGGCACAATAGGTCTAGGATGTGTTTTTTGCGTCTATTCCCTTTCATTATTCACGTCCCAGCTCACTTCATTAACCCATATCTGTAATTGTATTCAACATGGCTGGCCTTCGGCTACCCAGCCAAGTCGCATTTATAGTTTCCTCCGCCCAAAAAGCGGCGTCGCAGGAGAGTATCAACGGTTCCAGGATTCCGGGTCAAGATTCGAAAGCGGATGCATGTCCTTAAACATTGGTCCTTGCGCCATGGCTGGCAGCGGTGGGAAGGCATTTTGCTGTAAGGGGGTAGTGTCTGATGGTTCATGCGTGCTTGATCTGAGGCAGTGGTTATCTAGGGGGTTGGTTGGAAAGAGTGAATGAACCAAGCGGCTGGCAATAAGCTAAGGACCAGCCTCCTATTTTATTACTTTGCCACATTTTGGTACGCAGCTATCGAAACACGGGTGTCTGTCCTTTCGGCCTCCGAGTCAGAAACTAAACATAGTAAGCCTCGCGAAAGGGTAAGGAAACCATTTGGAGTTAAACTGGCCATTATTAGTGTGTCAGCTAGCCTGTGGGATGTCTGTTGCAAGGCGCATGCTGTACGGAATTTATGGCTTACGGTGGACTTTGTTGGCATTGATTGTGCTTTCTGTTCCAGTCAGGATGGCCGGGGATTAAACCAAAAAAAAAAAAAAAAGGAACATTGGCGCTGCCCGGAATCGAACCGGGGCTGGCACGGCCACAACGTGACGTCATACCACTAGACCACAGCACCTCATGTGTTGAAAGCTGTTCCAGTTTATCATAGATAAGCCAAACTTAGAGTTTTGACGCTAGCGGGCTTCATTCAAACAACACTAAGAGTGCCTCATTTACTTTGGCAATACGATCAAAGAGGGCACAACAAATTGCTGTTTCCATTTTTATGTCGATCGTACATAGTGTTTCTGATTTTATCAAGTACTTATAGCATATGATACTCTTTTGGGGGAATCGCTCATGCGGTTGCGCGACGTTTACAGGTCAACCGCATTATATATTTGTGAATCCGGCGTCGTTTTATGCTATACGGCCGAAACTCCCACGTACTGACAAAACCAAATGTCCAAAGACAAAGCCAATCACAATATCCCAACATAAGAGTCACTCACCCACACATGGACATAGGCTAACTACACAATCATACGTCGCCGAGCCAGGAGTCATGACCCTAACCTACATACGCACCGCATACATATTCGCGGATATCATGCTCAAGGAAATCGCCGCCATTTATACATGAATGCACACGATGGGACTGGCAACTGAAGCCAAGAGAGTCAATGGTCCATCCAAAATGCATCACTGCATATCCCTTTGAAATGTGTAAGTTGGGGTGCGAGCAGACTGAATGATTGCGACATGGTCACCACCCACACCTTCGACCAACAACGAAACGCAACGCAACAGCGGGGAAAGTGCAACAAAAGAACACAAAAGCAGGGTTCATTGGAATAATACAACAACGTGGTCGAAGAGCCCAGTAACTTGCTTTCAAGACGCAACAGCTAAGTAAGGCAATCGGTAAACCGGTAAAGTGCCACTATCAGACTGACGCTGATAAGATATCATGTCAAGACGCAAAGTGGATTTTGAATCCGAAAGTGTCTGCTTCATGTCATCAGCATGACACCTTTCCAATAGACCCTGCCAACTATATAGGAACGGGCAGCGAGGCACCTGGGCAGATCAGCAGATGTTCATTCGTATGCTACTCGCTGAAGAGTGCCCCCCCACCAGCCCTCTTGTATATTCCGTATATCATCCTTTAGTAAAGTATTTGCTGACAGGGCTCAGTATTCAACAGCCAAAAAAAAGAGTACAGTGTACCAGCACATTACAGATTTCAACATTGTGATGAAAGCGTATACTTGCAAAAAGCAAAAAAGCAATTGGCGCCGCCCGGAATCGAACCGGGGCTGGCACGGCCACAACGTGACGTCATACCACCTTTGGAATGGTTAGATATATATTCAATTTTGATAGAAAACTCGAGGTTACTCACTAGACCACGGCACCTGATTGGTTGAAGAACTGCGGTCTTCTAACAGACTTTACGCATCCGAAAAGGAAACACTTTAATTGCATGTCAGGCCGCGTACTCTCAAACGACGATCGCAAATTAGATTACCCAGGAATGCCTCCAGCTACACCGTATGTCCGATCGCATTTGCCAAGGTTGCCCTGCGAATTTCTTCTCGTACAGGATTATTGTATCGAATTAGCTATGACCACATATCACAATACACCCTGTCTTCATGCATGGGAGGGAAAATCGAGACGTTCGTCTTCGAGGGGTCTCTTTCTGATGGTCTGTCGATCTCACACTCAATCCGACCCTGAGCCTGAACGCATCAAGCCCTATTTCATGATTGGCTGACCGACAGCTTCATTGTTTCAGAATGCAGCCAATGGACCAATCTCGAAACAAGCGTGGCAGTGAGAGGTTGGGATAGGGTGGGTTCATCTGCTTGAAGACACCACTCACGGGTCGGTGGCAAGTGCACAGTGCGGATGTTCCATGGATGATGGCCCAGCTCGAGAAAAGGGGCGCGCGCCCTGAAGCTTTTCGATACACCTCATGGACCAATTTCCAGGGCTGGTGGACGGACGTATTTTCAGAAAGCGTTACTAGCGAAACTTACAGGCACAAAGAACCATCATGATATTCATATCTCAACCTCTGCTGCCTGCACAGTCAATTCTCAACATTCAACTTCGTCAATGCAAATGATACCCCGCGCTATCTAAACTGTATTCTTTGCCCGGCTTTCAATGACGTGGATATAATCTTAAAAAGGATCCCCATTGATAGGGGTTACTGGCCGCAAACTCTCAGGGCGGAGCAGTCGACTATGGATCTGATCCCTACCAGTGTGGACCGTGGGCAAAGATCGTCATCTTTTTTAACCGGTACGTACAGCCATCCAGAATCCGAAAACGACCTGAGCCATGACCGCACACTGGCTGACAGTCTCAGTCTGTCCTCTTGCCACATGTATGCTGGGCCCGACTCGACAGTGGAGTTTTCCTGAGCGCATTTCTCGTCGAGGCTTGAGAGTATAACCGCTAGTCTCACAATGCCGAGAGTTCATGGGGTCATCATCCCATGGGCTGTTCTATATAGGACTTGGCAAGCATATCGCTGAGGACAACATTTCACCAGGGATTTAATTAGGTGAGATCCCACCCCATGGACGTCATCATAGCTGTCGCGTGCGGCAAAAGATGGAATCGGAGGATGAAGCTCAACAACGCCGTCTGCATTCGGTATTGACGTTATAACCGCGGTTGCTACGCGTAATTCCACACGTCTCGCTCAGATGCTTCATCCTCCTGGCCCAGACTGAAACCCAATGAGCAGTCTTGACCCTTGAGTTGCCTTTGATGAGACGGCAAGAAGCGATTGTGTGACAGGGACTATCTCAATGACTCTATTTATATACATTATACACCCTGAGCGAGGACAGAAATAAGCTTTTCTTAGACCCTTCTTCCCCTGAAACTCGAACCCCGTGGAACCAGCTTGCGCGTTGCCGGACCTTTTGATATCAGGGCATCCCGTCGTGGAGAAGCCACGGGGAGCCCTGCACAAATGATAGCCGTCAGATGTGCATATCACCGAAAATCCCCAACGATCAGCCACTGCCGGCTTCGCTAGGAGCACGCAAGAGTGGACAGGCTCACTCATCATCGAGGGCATTTTCCGTCGAATTGGATGGGTGGTGGACTGTCCCTGAGGCTGACCAGCGATTCTTCGGTGCCTGGGCTTCTCCGTGGAGGAAGTATGAAATCCCTCCCAGCCCAAAACCCTTGCCCCCGACTTTTCCTCTCTTGCCATTCTCTCGAGAATCGACATTCCTTACTCTTCTTCTGCTTGCTATATTCGTCTTTTAATGCTATTACGCCTCTACACTCACTTGGGTTTATTTTTCGAGACATTTCACAACGAATATACCTCCATTCCTTTGTTTGTAAAGCTAGTCTTACGCGCCACTCTTTCTATCAGATACATCCATTCGCAAGCACCAGGTCCTGACCCTGCGGTCGCATTGCTTAGTCCTCTTATTCACACCAGATTATCAACATGAAGTTCTCAAGCGTCTTCGCGGGTGCTGCCCTCTTTGCCAGCAGCGTTCTCGCCGCTGACGTCGACCCTATTGTCATCAAGGTACGGCGCATATACAGCTGACTGCAGCCCGAGGAAGTGGTGACGGTGGCTGATACATCGTCTGCAGGGATCCAAATTCTTCTACAAGGGCAACGACACCCAATTGTATGGTCCATGCATTCCCCGCGTCTTTTGACAACTGAACGTAGCTAACGAAATGCCTCAGTTACATCCGTGGTGTCGCCTACCAACGTTAGTAGCCCATCTAGCTATTAATGAAATGATTGAAGCGTTTTATTGACAATTGGCAGAGGAATACTCCGGTCCCAAGTCCTCCTCAGACAACTACAAGGACCCCCTAGCCGACGGCAAGGCATGCCAGCGTGATGTTCCCATGCTTAAGAAGCTCAATGCCAACACCATTCGTGTCTACGCCATTGACCCCAAGAGCGATCACAAGGAGTGCATGGACCTTCTCAGTGAGAATGGAATCTACGTTGTGGCAGACTTGTCCTCTCCCGACACGTCTATTGTTCGTAACGACCCCAAGTGGGACTACGATCTGTACACACGGTACACCTCCGTCGTCGACGAACTCGCTCAATACGACAATGTCCTTGGATTCTTTGCTGGAAACGAAGTCTCCAACAACCCCAAGACTACCGGTGCCAGCGCCTACGTCAAGGCTGCTGTGCGTGATATAAAGCGCTACATCAAGGCCAAGAACTACCGTGAGATTGGTGTTGGCTATGCTACCAATGACGACTCGTCTATCCGTGAGGACATGGCCAACTACTTCAACTGTAACGAGGAGGAGGAGAGCATTGACTTCTGGGGTTACAACGTCTACTCCTGGTGCGGTGACTCCAACTACGAGAAGTCTGGCTACAAGTCCCGTACCGATGAGTTCCGCGATTACTCGATTCCCGTCTTCTTCGCTGAATACGGTTGCAACGCTGTCCAGCCCCGCAAGTTCACTGAAGTTGAGGCCCTCTATGGTGACAAGATGGCTGAGGTCTGGTCTGGTGGTATCGTCTACATGTACTTCCAGGAGGAGAACGACTACGGTATTTTGAATTTCCTCCCCATCCAATTATTTAACCGGCCTCTGACAAAATAACTAGGTCTTGTTTCCCTCAAGGATGGTGAGGCCTCGACCCTCGAGGACTTCAGCTACCTCTCCAAGCAGCTCGCATCCGCAACCCCCACCGGTACCAAGAAGAGCGAGTACAAGCCCTCCAACACTGCCCTGCAATCCTGCCCTACCCTCGGCAAGAGCTGGGAGGCCACCGCCTCCCCTCTCCCCCCTTCGCCCAACCAGGACCTTTGCGAATGTATGGAGAAGAGCCTCACCTGTGTTGCCAAGAGTGACATTCAGGGCAAGCAACTCTCAAAGACCTTCAGCACTGTCTGCGGTTACAACGATGGCAAGTTCTGTGAGGGTGTCAACGGAGACCCTAAGAAGGGTAACTACGGCGCCTATAGTGTCTGTACTCCCGAGCAGCAGCTCTCTTTCGCCATGAACGCCTACTACGAAGCCCACGGATCCGACTCTCAGGCTTGTGACTTCGATGGTGCTGCCGAAACCCAGAGCTCCAGCGAGGGCTCCGGCTCTTGCTCTTCTCTCTTGGACCAGGCTGGTACCGACGGCACTGGTGTCGTTAGCGCTTCTCCCACCGCTGGTGGCAGCGGTGGATCTGGTGGCAGCGGCGACGCTGAGACCTCCGACGGTGCTGGAGTTTCTCTCACCCCCTCTAGCGTCCAGGTCGGTGTCTTCCAGCTTAGCGCCTACGTGGCTACGGCTATGTTCGCCGGTGCTGCTATGATCATGCTGTAGATTTGGTAGTGGTTGGGTGTCGGCACGGCGAAATCTCTCGTCTACGTTATGTATGACTTGGGCTTTGCTTGTGGTCGTTCAAAATGGTTGATGTGTAGTATACTTGTATTACAGTGCTGCTCCTCGATCGCTTTGCTATTTTCTTGTTTGACCTGTTTTTATATGCGACTGTTCTTAGATCTCCCGAGTAGCTATTTAATTCTTTTATGTCCGTGCAGATGACTCGTCCTCTGCGGTTTATAGTACATATTTTGTAATAGATCTTCACTCGGCCTGAAATGTGTATGCCAATACACTACTGTAGACAAGCCAAGAAATTTCGTGCCAAGGCATGGAGAATCGAACATTAGCAACGAGTTTGACGGTGGCCGCATGTGAGAGGGTTTTAGATTACATTGGATACCTAGTAAGTAATTAGTCGGCACGTCTACGAGTAAATATCCCACCTAAATCTTGTACATATACCACAGCGTTGAGATTACTGGTCGTGAACCACACCGATGCTCTAATGTTACCTGGTTGTATGGTGGCTAGAAGACCAGGAAGGAAAAGAACTAAATAGGAAAGAAAAGGTGAAGAGAATTACCAGCATGCAGTGACAGGACTAGACACAGATGGATAGAACTTTGAATTGCCGTAGACATTGAATATCTAGTTCTGGGGCTGGCCATACAGTTGGATGGGTAACGTTCGAATAGTTTCAAAGCAACCCTTTTTGATTATCAGCCATCACTCTTGCCGCCGCTTCATGGTGACTCGATGCTGGAGTATACCCCCGCTGTCTATTGGTGGGAGTGAATTGTCAAGCGGTTATCTGCAGGGCGTTGAGACAGCGCTGTTGCCGTGCCAACCGTGATCTCCGTCAACGGCAAAACACCCCAATGACAGGCCGGGTCTGCTCGAATCAATTGTTCCTGCAGTCTCTGCATCTGCAATACAATCAATAACCGGTCGGAAATAAAAGGAACCATCCTCGCCACCCTTCGAAAGGAAGTGCGGAGCTTGCAGAGCGCCTCTGTATTGCGACCCCCACGTATACCGAAATAAGAAGGCACGACAAACGGCCCGTGCAGGAACGGCAGGAACGACCCTCCATACAGTACAATACACCAAAAGCGACAACAATGGCCCGCCTGAACACGAGAAGTCAGGCGAAGCAGGACGACTCGCGAGAGAGGTCCCGACCCCAGCGTCTAACCGAGCGATATGTGTCTCCCCCGGCGAAGGAGCACCGCAGAGAACAACGGACAATGGCCACGGCGACGCTCTTCGATAAACGGCCTGGACCGACAGAGAAGCCGGCATTGGGGCGGAGCAAGTCAACCAGGTCGAGGGCAAAGATGGTCGCCGAGCAGCAGTTTGATATCTTTGCCGATAGCGATGGGACGACTGACCGGGACACGCCCAAAGCTAAGAAAGCGACACCTCTGAAGTTGGCACGTACCAATTCGATGATGCTACCGCTGCCACAACAACCTCGGACTCGGACGAGCAGGAAATCGGAGCTATACAACTACGACAAGGAGAACGATCCGCTCGAGGAAGAGCTGGATCCTGAACCTGAACCCACGTCACTTTCTAGAAATCCCTCCGATGCATCCTCGACCAGACGATCGCCGACGAGAAATCGAAACACACAGCAATTTACTACTTATCGACAACAGCACAACGAATCGGAGGACGAGAATGGTGATGATAGTTTTAATTCGCTTGATGACTTTATTGTCAGCGACAATGACGAACCGAGTTACCACGAAACCGAGGATGATGAAACTGAGGAAGACGAGGAGGAACACAAAGCGTCTCCACCACCAACACAACGGAGGAGATTACTTCGAGGCAGACGACCAGACCCAACTGCTGAAATAGAGAAAGCTTTGCTTGAGTCTACACGGCGGCCAGACCTTCGCCTTGAACCTTCCTTACCGGCTGCATTTGCGGCGCCCTCGCCGAATTCGGATAGAGTCGCAAGAAAACTATTCCAGAAAGATACCGATGTTTCTGATAAGATGGACCGTTTGAACCTAGAGGATAGTGATCCCTCCTCTCAGCTTCAAAATGATCTGTTTGGGTAAGTCGTGTTACCACCATGCCCACCCGATATAGGGCAAGTTTGTATTAACGAAAGGCAGGGCGGCAATTGATCTGGACTCAATTTCCCACACACCACCAAAAGAATCATCCTTCCAGACCCCCCCGCCCAGTCCATCAAAGAGTGTCTTGCGCTCTCCGACGAAGGACAAAATTCGAATTCCACCAACCCCCCATCGTGAAAGCACGGATGAGTTCTGGAGTTTGGAAGCCACCAACAACTGGATTGACCAACACTCCCCGCGCAAAGTGAATCAATTGCTTCCGGAGTTTGACGAGTCTGATTGCGAATTCGAGTTGAAGTCCAAATCCTTGGGGGACAAGAAACAAACCAAACCCCCCAGCAAGACCGCCCTGAAAAAGGCAGAGGTTGAGGCAAGAAAAGCGGCCGTGGCACGCAAGAAATCATTCGATAACAAAAAGCCAGCACTTGCAGAAGACTTCCTCAAAGTCCTCGACGACACTGTTTCCGGAGGCGAGGTCCAAAGACGCGCAGCAGACACCGGCGGTGTTCGCATTGTATGGAGCAAGACACTTCAAACAACTGCTGGGCGTGCAAACTGGAAGCGAGACAGGTCTCTCCCAACTCATGATAGGTCCGTGACACCACCTGATTTCTCATCATCTGGAAACGAGACGCCTTCAGTGAAAACGAAACATTACGCCACCATCGAATTAGCGGAACGTATCATCGACGATGAAGACCGATTGATCAACACCCTAGCCCACGAGTACTGCCACCTGGCCAATTACATGGTTTCCAATGTTCGCAATCAGCCACACGGTGCGAGTTTTCAGGCATGGGGCCAAAAGTGTAAAGAAGCGCTCAGAGACCACCCAGTTTACGGTGGACGAATCGAAGTGACGACCAGACATAGCTACAAGATCGACTACAAGTACGTTTGGACCTGTGTTGACTGCTGTCAAAACTATGGACGCCACTCCAAGAGCATCGACCCTAGCAAACATCGATGCGGTAAATGCAAAGGTATCCTGCAGCAGATCAAGCCCAAGCCGAGAAGTGTCTCGCCTAGGAAGAAACAACCTACTCCTCCCGCTGGTGCGGTGAATGATGTGGCAAAAGGCTTGGAAGTCGTCGAGTTGAGCCCATGAGATGCGCTGTGCGTCCATAGATAATTGGACTTTGGATTTCCCGCGACTCGGCGTCTATTGGACTGGGCTGGATACATTGGAGTACGTTGGTGGACTGTGACGCTCTTTAGCGAACCTGATTTCTTTTCCTCTTTCTTTCTTTCTGATTCAGCTTTCTGTTTCATTTTGTCTCTCCTTATTACTCTACTTGACGCATGGACGATCTCTACGAAATGTCAATAGGACAGAAGACACTGTGTGCCTAATGTACATACTCGTGAAATAATAATCACTTAGATATGGCATATCGACTACTTCCTGGGGGCTTCCCCCTCCCCTAAATATGTTAAGCCGAGACATTATTTTGGAAAAACCTTAATTCTACAACGCAGATGGTAAGAAAGATAGAACAGGGTACGTATATTATATGTATGCAAACGTGGATATATTAGCTATATGCCTTAATTCAGCAACAACGCTAGATTCGTTCAAGTGGTGTGGGGGGATTATATATAGACATTAAAAGATCTTCTCGGTGACTTATTACCTTGTCTCCACTTTTCAATGTAATGAGACATTCTGTACCGCCTCTTCAACGCTGACAACGGCATGTTCCTGCCCTTGCTCATGACCACTCATTCCAGACTCAGTGATCTTGGCATCCTCCACAGCGGCAGCAGCAGAGGTAGAAGAGGGGCTCTCAACCAAATATTCCGGGTGGAGGAAAGTAGTTGCAGCGCTGCTCATGCTACTGATACTGTTTCCGCTTTGGCTGACCTGCGATGTATCCGAGGAGTCTGTCTGCGTGTGTTTGCGTCCGCTCCGGCGTGTTTTCGGCGGCTCGGGTTTTTGAGCTTGCTTGTGGGTTTGGGCCTGGGTGCCTTGTGGAGTTGCGAGTCTTGAGGGGCTTGTGAGGGGGGTGCAGTGGCTGGAGGATGAGAGATTGTTCTGGATTCCGGAGCGGCGAGGGGGTGGAACAGCAGGCGGAGGGTTAGATGCGGAGCGGCGAGTGAGGGGGTGATGATGAGCTGGGGGTGCCGGAGGTATGTGGCTAGGAGAGGGATTTGGAACGGCGGATGAGTTTCGACGTTCTGGATCGGAGATGACGGGTTCTGAGGTTGTTATGACGGGGGTTGCGGATAGGAGGCTTGGGCTGTTGGGCCCAGTAATAGTACTTCCTTCCTCTGCAATGCTTGCCGTGGCTACTGGGCTGGTAGTTCCTTCGTCCACTGTTGCTCGTCTTCCGCGCCAGCGCCTTGTCTTCGGAGGTAGAGGCTTCACTTTCTGTTTTGTAGGGCTTGATTGCCTTTCAGGTTGGTGTCCGTCATGGCGGCTCGGTGTGATGATGCCTGGCTTTTCGCGTTGGGATGCAACTTCGTGTACGCTGAGGGAAGACGTTGAGGCAGGATCAAGATGCATCCCCAGTCTAGCGACTTGGCTATGTTTACGAGGTGTTCCACTCGCAGATGCCGGAGAGTCTCGACCATCGGCCCGAGGGAACGATAAGTCTTCAAGTGAGCTCCCCCGCGTACTGGCGGACTCAATTGACTGGAGGGATTCCAGAGACGTCCCCATCTCAACATCTGACACGAGAGCACTGTCTATTGTTGGCAACGAGGAAGTCAAGCTGTCTTCCCTTTGCGGGACATTCCCAGGTTTATATGGCTCTTCTTCGTCACGTAGCCAGTCAACAGTAGCGCATCGGAGAACTAATCGCCGAGTGGTTTCGTCAACTTCGCCGAAATGCGTAATCTTCTCGCAGTCGGCAGTGGTATTACTAGTTAGTTGGCCTCGGACGAGAAGATTGAGCATGCGTTTGAGTTCGTCTCGCTTGTAATGCGGGGGTAGCCTCAACTGAGTATGCGCAACCAGAGGGTAGAGAACTCTCAGGTAGGTGTGTCGAAGAGCCGAAGCTTCCTCCGGGAGATCGAGAAGGTTCCGTATGAGGATATCAACCAAGACGTGGAGGTCATTGGTGAAAAAGTATTCATACGTGCTCGGAGTTGTGAAGATAAGATAAAGCAGTTTAAGCGTAAGGAGTTGGAGCGACGTTTCAGCTATAGATCTGGGTCAGAAAATTGTACGTTTGGAATGGCCTGGAATGGCTAGGTAAAGTACCTTCTCTATTAATCAACAGAATGATATTCTCGCCAAATGTCTTATAAGAGTTCCCATGCATGGACAAGACTTTGATGACCTTGTTTGTCAACGGGTTCGAAGGTGATTGTCCATCGCTGGGGTTATGGGCTGATATCATAAACTGCTCATTCAGAACCAACTGTTGCGCAAAATCAGCTAGTGCTTTTTGGTAAAATATATAGAAAAAGGAAACATACCAGTACGCGGATAACAGGATAATGATATGGGTCGTTGGCGTCAAATGATAGATTCTCAATGATATTAAACAGACCCCGCACAAATTCGTCGTCCACGAGAACTGTCATGAGAAGTCGGGTTAACAATCTGGCCATAACAACCGCCCATCAACCCATAGGAAACTCACTTAGGTCCTCTATTTTGATTTTCTGTATTCGCGACAACTCATACAGGAGATCCATCAGAAGTCGATGTAACCCCGCCCCACTATCGTGATCCTTGTCCAAAGTCCGCACATGAAGCAGTTCAAGCAACCGCGGAAACGCACCCTCCTCGTTCATCATTTGCAGCGGGAACTCATGTTGTCGGCCGTCGAAGAGGAGGAAGGATGCAATCATATGCAGGGTCACGGGGTCATCTTCCTATATCGGGGGTGAATAAATGACCTCTCTCAAAAGCAGATAGGTAGCGGTACCTGTAGGAGAGCGTAAATCATCTGTCGCCGGACGTAGTCCGAATGAGCGACAAAGATTGTTGACGAGAGCAGTTTGAACGAGCATCTCGCAACCTCGAACTCGGACTGCAGATATTCTTCTGTTGGGATTCGCGGAGACTGATTAGCCCTTTGCGGAGGCTTGTAGTTTGGGGGGATAAACATTCGGTTGGTTACCTTTGTATTGGGCAGCCAAGTTCAGATACGCTCGGAGTGCGTTATCGATTAGGTCTTCTGAGGAGCAAGGGGCGGATACAATTTCTTGGATGTCTGCGCAAAATCGGAACTGGTTAGTCCTAGAGAGACGGCGGGAGGAGACTAAGCGCCGGGATCCCAGAAGAAAGGGACGTACTAGTCCAGAATTGCTGCTCATTATCCACGGAGACCTCAAGCTCCATTTCCCACAACTCGATCGTCGTCGTCCTCGGGCCTGTTGGGTCTCTGCTTCACTCATCCCGTCCTGCGCCCGTCAAACAAGTTGGCTGTGGGCTCCGTTGGGAGGAAAGATGAGGAAGTGAGAGCGCTCCCCGTAGTGTGTCCGATAAAATGCTGGAAATAAAGCAGGGAAAAGAGCGAGCGAGAGAAGGAAAGGAAGAGAAGCGAGGGGGAGAGAAGGAATGGCAGACGTTGCCCGGTTGGCGATGACGATGGAGAAGAGCAAGACTTACTAAATAAAGCGTGGCTGAAACCCACTTTAGCCTTGTCACTTCTGCGGCATCATCCACTTTGTCATCCTTACTATATTTATTTACCATTTACTTCACCAACAACTTTTATGCTTCGTTTGGTACAGGCAGATGATCCATATGATTGATACTATATTTGTATAGAAAGTTGTTGCTCAAATAAGAGGCTATAAAGATTTTAATAGTGCAAAGTTACAGTGAAACAGAGTTGCCTTTGAGGCGGGCCTGAATATCGAGGAAGTGGTATTGGTTTACATTCACAAATGCACCTTATAGCTAAATACAGAATCATACAGAGTCATTTGAAATTAGTATCTATCCGGGGCGTTTGAATGGATGGGCCTCGGTGTTTCTGGGGAAAAAGAGTCAGCAACTGGCAACACCGCACTACTGGGCATCACTTACAGGACATATTCATCAAGACTCATCACACTCGGGTCACTGAATAGGAGATAGAAGTATTTTAGGGTCTCCGCAGTCCAGAAAGACTGCATATTATCTGATGGTCGCGGTTCATCAACGGTGACGTCTCTAATAGCAGAATTGGCTAGGTCCGTCCTTGTGGCTTTATCAATAGCCTGGAACATCTTCCAGCCTTTCTCTCGCCAGTAAGAGTCACCTGTGAGACGGAACATAACAAAAACGGATTCTATCGCTTCTGGTCGAAGGAGGTATTGACGGGCTGGGATCCCTACCATGCCTGGTGGGAGGCGGTCCTTGTGGATCTTTTTCGTAACGAATTCCTCCTGTGTGAGCTCTCCCATACTATCAGAGGTTTGGCCTTCGGTCTGTCCGTTGGTGGTTGACTTCTCGAACGCTGGTCCGTTAGTGGTTGACTGCTTGATTTCTTTCTTGGTTTCCTCTTTCTCGGCTGATGGATTGGATTCAGAAGTTGAGACGACATGCCAGTTCCCCTTTTCAGGTTCGGCAGACCGTTTACTGTTTGACTTGAGCCGCTTAGCAGCGTAAGGGTCCAAGGCCGCATAGTAAGTTTTGTCATTCCACTCGCACGGCTTCCCCTTCTCACAGGGGACCATCAGGAATGCTTCCGGCATAATTCCTGTTTTGGTGGCCTCATACGCCCAGATGCAACCGTCCGTCAGCTGACCGGCTAGCTTCAGGTCGTCTTCTAGCCCTAACAGTTTGGAGCCAATGGCAAACATACCACCAGCAAAGCAGGCAAGGTGGGTGCCTTCGTAGGTGAACGCCGCATCGAGCTTCTTTGTCATAGTCATGGTTGACAGGAAACGGACATCGCGGTTATTTTTAAGCATGGGCTGGTAAACGAGATGCTTCCGTACCTGAACCATAGCTTTATTGTACATGTTCAGATACTGGTCGTTGTTACCACCAAGCAACAGGTATTCCTTTGGTAAGAGCTCGTATGTAGAGTCACCAAGAGCTCCAAGACCAAATTTGTCAACCCCAGAGATTGGATCATTGAGGCCACTATAGCAGTCTTGCTTTGGGGGAGGTGTCCGTTTGCCGAGTGCTTTCAAAGAACCGGGTTCTGACGGGTCAGCTTTGTCATGGTGAGCTGGTTCTGCATTGTAACCGAATTGGCTCGCATGGGGCGACGCCTGGCTTGTTGGATTGATCTCGTGGGACAATGGCGAGCCTTGGACGGGGTGCCCAACGGCGGCTACCTCTCGCTGGTACCCTGGAATTTCTCTGCACCCGGATGAGTCTATGTTAAGGGGCCACAAGCCCGGTAGTTTCGTGCGATCCTGATAATCTTCGAGCGCGTTTGTAATCCGGGAAATCGCATCGTAGTACTTGTTATCCTTGGTCAATTGCGCTAGACGCGTGAACTCCATGGAGAGTGAGCCTAGCTCCGCAAGAACAGCCGAGTGACCCCCTCGGCGATTCCGAGTTGCATACTCCGGCTTCCACATATAATAGAGATCCGGCATCCGGTTCGGCGTATCGAAAGCGCCCATCAGGACATTTGCGAGTTCAACAGACTTTTCCAACAGCACATCGTACTTGTGTCCCGAAATATCATAGGCGCCGAGCATCCCACCTAAGTAACGAATGACAGTCTCAAAAACTGGGATGTCTTGCTTTTTGGTGGTTGTAAAGTCGATTTTCTTCAAATAGTCGACCGCCATGGAGAATTCCTCCTTCAAATCCATGATCCACAACGTATCCAAGGTGTCAACAAGGGTTGCACCCCATCCATTAAATGAATCGCTAAAACCACCACGAACGGGGTAGACCTCGTCGTGGCCCATGGCAGAGACCTTATAGCCATTCCAGGCATGTAGAAAAGCCGACTTTACACTTTCGAGTTGTTGCATCCGGTGCATCTTCTCGGTGGATGATTCATCCTTGGCTTTCACCTGTAGCTTGGGAAGCGACTTTGGTGGCCCAGTTGGTAGCCTTATCAGAGTCTCCGGATTAATTGGAAATTGTTCGGGCATTGGCTGCCAGTGAGGAAGTGAAGACGTATCTTCTTCAGTTCCCTCATCCTTGTTGCTCTGTGTTTGTGCGCCTGTCTGGGGTCTGTGGTCACCAGATTCCTTGTCTTGAGATGGTATAGTGTTCGGGCGACCTGGGGCTTCTATTGGTGGGGCTGGTCTGTCATTTGGACCTTTGGAGGGTGGCTGATGTTGCCCCGGTTGTCCTAGCGGTGCTGGTGGTTTCACCGGGTTTTTGTTATCACCATTGTCTTTATCATTCTTGACCTGGCCACCAGCATCGTGGCCGGGGGAGGTGGATTTATGATCATCAACGGGTGGCGGAGGGACCTGCAATACAGCAGATTGATCGCGAGACCGGCTAAAGTGGAGTATAAGCAGAACAAATATGGCAGCAAACACCAAGGAAATGCGATATCGTCGTGCACGAAACATTGTCGGCGGGAGTCCGGTAGGGGGCTAGGGGTTCACGGGAGAGGAGGGAGCAGTGTGATAGACGTCGAAAGCGAAGGTGAAGCCGCCGCCGGTCGGGGGCGAGGATATTTCGAGGGACAAAGTCACAGGCTGGAATTAAAGAACGACGATAAGGGTCAGGATTGTTGGTATCATTCAGGTCATTTCGAGTAATAAGGATGTTGCGGTCGCGCGAAGTCGCGTGCAGGAGATAGAGTAGTCACTGTGGATATGATGAAACTTTGTAAGGGGTCCAGACGAGTAATTCAGTAAGAGATTGGAAGTTGAAACGCAAGACCGGTTGCAAGGCTGGAAAAAGAACGGGAGCCCCGTCCTCAGGTGATTTCCTCCGTGTTGTGAACTGCCCCGTTGGTGCAGGTGATTGATTGACTGAATATTCGAAGTTTACGGCGGAGGAGCGGAGCCAACAAGCCACTGAAGAGCGCCCCAGACCCTGGCGGGCCGCGGCTTATGGTGCTGGCTGCTGTCAATTAAGGGAGGCTGGTGACATCAGTCAGCACCAATTGGCCCCAGAACACCTCGATGTGTCAAGAAGAGACCAAGTCCAATGGTATTGTATGACTAGAATTGTTCTACGGATGTTCGACACATTCCGGAGAATTTCCCGAGTGGTTCTGATGCGACTGCCAGGATGTTTACACTTGGGGAAGCTTGGGAAAAGGGTCGAGACCCTGAGTCCCCACGTAATATTACCGACGATACGGATACACCCTTTACTAAATTTAGAGCTGGTTGGCCCCGAGCGATCTGTCGATATTTCGTGGGTGCTTACGCAGTAAGTTTGTTTTCGAAAAAAATAAAAAATACTACATATGCCTCATTATCTTTATAGGCACTGAGACTGACATCATGTGTGAAGCCTGACGTTCCCCGCTTGCTATTGGTCCATGAATGGGTGTTGTTGTCCCACACTGATTGCCAGACTTGTGCGATGATTCTACTGTTTAGGTAGTACAACACAGCCCGTGAACAGAGCTTCGCTTTAATTCTCGGACACTCTATCTAGTTTGGAATATGTGATGACTAGGTGGTATCTTTAGAGACCAACAGACGCGCGAGGTCTGTTGTCCTTGTTCGCCTTTTGGAACTGCTGAATTAGCCCGAGGACTCCAGCACCCCCGACTATGGCATCTACGTTTTCCGCATCTGCATCCTCGTCATCTGGTCCATCGTCCATTAGATTCATTCTCCATGAATCTTCAACGTTACTGTCACCCGTGCCTGGGTCGTTGTTTGACCCGGAAGTTGCATATGGTGGTTTTGTTCTTTGTCCAGAAGCCGTCCGGTGTGTCGTTGTGCTAGGCGATTCATTACCGTCTAACACGGATTCGGATACGGGCTCTGGTTGAGGACGGGCTAGTCGATGGCGTTGGTGTTGTGTGGTGCGATTTGCGGTTCGAAATCCAGACGCTGATGGCTGATGATGCGGATCGAGAAGGAGCGACGGAGCGGGAGAGTCAACTTCACCGATCCCGGGCGGCCCGAATCGAGCGGCGCCAAAGGTGGATTGTTGGCCGGCAATTCCAGTTGCCGGTCCGGGGCGAGTCTGAGTTAGGTCCTGTCGATTCCCAACGTTGCCCAGCCCGACCAAGGATGGAGATCCTAGCGATGGGAACGTTGGTGGGGGGTGAAACGAGCGCTTGTTTGCATGGCCAGGACGAGGATTGCCGCCGTAGTTATCCAAAAATCCGTAATAGGAGGCGAGCATTTTCCCATCCTTTGTTGAAAAGTAGTCCGCGCGCGGGTCTTGCCTTGCGTTGTCACGCTGATTGGCATGTCCCTGGGGCATAGCATTTGTACCTTTTTTAAAGTCAAAGACAGCAAAAGAGCAGAGATAGCCCATGCCATCAACATGGACGGTGAATTCACGAAAGAAGTCGATGACACGTTCGCTGCATTTGGGTAGGCTGAACCATAAAATGAATGGTGTGAAGATCATGCTCAGTATTTCTTCCATGAATATGACGATCTTCATCTGATACGATACAGCAAAGTCTTTTCGAACGTCATCGCTGTGTAGCTTCCCTTTCCAGTGGCTTGGGAAGTAGTGAGTAAAGTCGATAACTTGGAGAAGGGAATATTCCGGATCGAATACGTCAGTGTCTTCGGGAACCATCCCTCGCGCAAATGCCCAAACAGATCCAAAGATACCAAGGTAGAAGAGGACGGTTCGATCGTGCGTTAACTCAAACCCAAGAAATAGTTCCGGGTCTATAATGGATGCTAAAGCCAACACAGAGGTGAGCGCACCAGAAACGAATGCAATGAAGCCCGCAACTTGGATGGTCTTGTCTTTGGGGAACTGGTCGACGTAGCGAGTTGCAAATGGATAGGACAGGTTGATTCGACGTTCAAAAAGATGCCATAGTTCGTTAAACTCGCGGAATTTCCATTCAGCAAGTGGCGTATACTGACGTGATGAGAGTTGTGATGGGCTGTTCTTGTATTCGTTGAAATAGCGGAAGAAATGATGCATCATAAAATAAACGACGATGAAAGGCGCTATAAATATGTTCATTATCCCAAAAAACATAAACCGGCGTCGTAAGCCATCACTCAAGGCTTTGCGATGGGTATCTTTCAAAAATAGTGGTCGTACTTGGCCTTGCTCATTGAAAACATAATCCATAATGCATAGGTTGATATTCCACTCTAGAATGCGGGAGAAAAGTTGCCTGTTTCGCAAAAACGGTACTGGAAGCGTTAAATCCAGGGTGTCTTTATTGATCAACGCAATCAAATAGTTTTCTTTGCGCATCAACCGATTAGCAATATCATGAGCATCCATTCGTTGCTTGGACTGGCTGCCCAGTAATCGGCGGTTATTTGCCGATACAGCACCGGCAGTAGCTGGGTTGGAATCTCTCAGCACCATTAATCGGCTGACAACCTCTTGCCATGAGATGGTCTGGATTTCCGCGTCGGAAACCCCGAGTAGGTAATGATAGAAATCATGCATGTTTTTGAGCCTCCTAATGTCCAACAGCAGCTGAAAGACTTTCCCGACCCAGAATACGCAAAGTAGCCAGAGCAAGAACGTCGAAGACATGGACATCTTGCTGGTGCATTTTGGAATCAGGATTTGGTCTAGTGTTTTGCTCCGGCGGACGCGATGATAGTCGATACAGTTGGTGAGAAATGTAGTAAACCCCACGATAAATGCAAACGTCCTGCTTATAGTTAAGAAAACAATCCCAAACCGACATCATCGAAAAGGAACATTGGGGGAACGTACAGTATACTCAAAATGCGGTTCAGGAGAATGGACCAGATCCCATTTCCTAGAAAGTAGGTGTAGACTTCTTTCAAGAAGTTGTCTAGATTCTCTACGTTTGCCCACATCCACATAGCTTTCTCCTTCGGATCTACTAACGCCAAATTAGGGTGACCTGCTGACCAGAGGCTCCTTGGACGGTTCCGCCAGGGAAGATCGTGCGAAGGTCGCCGATCCGTAGTATTATCCCATCGAATGTGGTTACGACCGGGTGAACGAGCACGGCGAGAAGGTTGCGGATCAGAAAGATGATGCGAGGGCGGAGGAGGGAGCCGTATTTTTAAATCGTCATCGTCATGTTGACCTTCCATCAGAAGAGAAGCCGGGACATCATCATCATGGTCATCGTCGTTGTCATCATCGTCGACGGCGTTCGCCCTGGAAGACGTTGGTTGGATCCACCTGGGGTTGCTGTGTCTACGGCGGCGAGGCCCAGATCTAGAAGCATCTATATGATGCTCTCTTTGAGGAGTCAAAAAGGTATCACTCGGACTCGGAGACTCCTCTCGGGCGGCGTCTGCCATCGCATCTTCAAGCTCACGATCGCTAAACCGCGCCCCTAGGTTGACGTCATCATCAAGGGTTAAGCCAGCGCGTTCCTCCACATCAGAAGCATCCGGGTCGTCGTCGTCGTGTTGGCGGATAGTTTCGTATACAGACGGGGCACCGTTTGGGGGGAGGAAGCGAGATAGGACATTTGAGGCCATCATCATGGGCTAAAAGGAAGGAAAAATAGCGGCTCCTATTATCAGCATGAAACGAAGAAAAGCATTAGTGCATAAAGATGGCCCCTAAGCCAGATTCATTGTCCAGATGGCAGCCATCAATCAACGGATAGGATAGCCGACGAGACGTGGAGGTGCGATAAGCGGGAGTGCTATGGAGCTTGGGTAGCTCCAAAAATGAGGACAGTTGATATAAGGCGAAATAGAAGTGGAATTTGAAGCTTTATCTGTTTGACTTTCGAGGAAGTGGGCAGTATAATGTTGTTTACAAAGACATCGTGACAGACAACGGCAGGTTGCAGCTGATACGTGCCTCGATCTCATGACATGGATAGAAGCTCAGGACCGCGCAGGAGGATGATGCAGGCGGTCAGTGACTCAATCATGGAAACCTTATGGCCTGAGGCACAAATCATGTGACTCTGGGCATCATGTCAGTCGTGGCTAGGTCCCTCTGACTTGAGAGCTATGATTGCTTTCATATGGCAGTCTATTGTATCGCGACAAAATACTTCCAGTGAGACACACGCAGACCATCAATCAGGGGGCACATCAGATAAAAACTACTCCATAATTGATGGGAAGCGTTGAAGCGTGAACGACTGCAACTAGTCGCTGACGACACGAGTCAGGAAGGCGGGATGGAACCACCAATAAGGACTGTTGACCTGGGTTCGAAATGTCTTCCGCTGGGTCGTGCGGGGGCTCTTTCTCCCGGTGTGGATAACAGTCGGGCAAACACACACTGCTACGCACTCCATACAGCGAGGTTTTAGCTGAGAGGAAACCTGTTGTGGCTGAGGATTTCCTTGCTGCGAAGCGAGCATATGCTATGCACGTCTGTGGAGGTGTTGCTGCAAGTTTATCAGAAGAATCAGAGTTATCTACGGGCCATTGTTCAGGGACCAGGGTCCTAATAAGCTTTACCGCCATTGAGGGGTCTGCGCCATGAGTTACGTCTT